ATGGTGCACAGATAATCTGTCACCAGCCTTACCTCCTGACCTTCCTACCTCTTTCCAATTCAGAGGAATGGCATTATTGATTCCCCACCCATCTGACTGGGTTGTCCCAGCCACTCTGGGTGGCTTCCAACAAATATAACAACATAATAAAAATTTAGAATTAAAAAATACTTCCCTAAACAGGGCTGCCTTCAGATGTCTCCTGAAGGGTGTATACTTACTGATCTCCTTGGCTCAGGGGTCATGTAACTCCATACCCTCAAACATTTCTCAGATGAAAATAGGGATTTCCTAAGGAAAAGAGGGACATTCCAGGATCAAATCAGAAACCAGGATGGCTTCTGTAAATCTGGGACTGTCCCTGGAAAATAGGGACACTAGAAATGTCTGGAATGGCAGTGTCAGGGACTGGACAGAGGAGGAATGGTGGGAACTGCCCCCTGCTTTTTCTGAACCTTCCCAAGGGCAGGAGGACAGTATTCATTTAGAACAGTGGTTTGCAGAAGGGCATAGTCCTGAGGGGGAAAGCTGTGAAATACTGGGTGAGGAACAGCTAGAAGAGGAAATACCAGGAGAGAGACAGCTGGCAGATTCAGTGTCCTTGGACAGCATTCCTGACACCCACCCACATCCCTTTGCCTAAAACTAGGCGGGCTTGGAAAGTGATAGAACAGAAAGCGCAATGGCAACAAACTCAGATTACCCAATGTAGGAGTGCTGTAGATTAATGGGGATGGAGAGGGTGAACCTTTACTGGGAGCAATGCCATTTTTTAGAGAGATATGCATTCCTTTGTCTCTCGCTGTGATTATTAAAGAGCTTGTCTGGTAAGAATGCTTCTTTCATTTGATCTGCTTATTTACTGCCACCAGGGGAGGGATCCGATTCTCCGGTCCGACAGGCAGCCATTAACCTGTTGATAGTATCTGTTCCTCTGTAAAAACGGCAATCTATCTTTTCACACCCATCTTAGGCTTCTTCACACTTTCCACAGTCTCATAAACTTGATTCCATTTTGAGTAGGCACTGAATTAGATGGGTCAAAGGCCCGACTTGGTACATGCCAGTTCCGTGTGCGCAGATAAAATTCTGTTTATTGTCACTCTGTTTCAAACAGTCTGTGTTCATGCAGCCAGAAGCTTTCTCTTTGCCTCTTCAATAAGTGTTTATAAACTTTATTTTACAGTCCATATGATCCAATCTGAGGGTTGCCATCCTAAACCCGCCTTTGGAATTATGTTCTATTGTGGTTCCAGGCATTTTCAGAGCTAAAGCTTACAAAGGTTTACAAAGATGGCAGCCCAGCTCCCACAGCAACGCACAAAGATGGAAAGTGGAGGCAGGAAAATGGGACTCTCCGTGGAATCTGCCTTAGAAGCCAACTTGAATCTACAGATTACGTGCTCTGTAGGGCTAAAGGTGAACATTCCATTAGCACAGGAATCTAAGCTTGCATCATGGAATGTTCTTGCCTTCTCCTCCTCCTCCTCCTCCCACGCACCCCTAAAACTGTTGTGAAGGTTCCTTCTACCCTCCTGAGCAGATTTGGGGTGTGCACAGGGGGGCAGGGGAGGGGGAAATCCCATCGCACAAACTCTAATCCTTCTGCTAGTGCAAATATTTAATTGCGTACCACTCTATATTGCTATCCCTGCTCCACCGCAATGAACAAAGTTTAATTCCAAGTGCGCATAGGACCATGTTTTAGGAGCCCATATGTGTTAGGGTAGTTACTGACGCATCACACAGTTCTGTGCCATCAGGCTATTCAGTGTGATTATTTTAAAGTCTGGCAGCCTATGGTGCCTCACACATGCCTAAGTATGCATATAAATGAATCCTAAATAGAAACTTGGAAAATTACTCCCCTGCATTTTATAATGTCTCTGTTTACCTTTACTAGGCACTTAGTTCACTTGTTTTGGCAACAGCAAAGCTGTCGCAATTAGCATATTTTTAAAAAACAAGCTGTTAAGAGTTAAGGTGCTGGTGGTTGTACTAGCAGACACTTTGTTCTGTGCTTAGTTTGTGATGGAAAAAAGTACTGACTAATAAAATATACAAGCTCCATTAAGAGAAAATAAAAGTCAGAATGCATTGGACTTTGTATTGTTGTTATGAACTTTTTATTCTTTTTTAAAAAATTTATTTTATTTATGATTTTCAATTTTATGCATTTCAATAATTTTACAATCATTTTAACATTTTGAAACCGACTTCCTTCTCCCTCTTTCTGCAGTTCCTTAAATTTATTTTTTATATATTTTCTGCATATTCCAAATTAACTTGATTTACTCATTTATTCATCTAATTTATTCATTTCCATTCTTCTATAGAAGTTTGTTGTCTTGATTACTTATTTTTTTGGCAAGTTTTGCCATTTCTTCATATTCCATAAGTTTTTGTATCCATTCTTGTTTTACTGGGACTTCTACATCTTTCCGTTTTTGGGGCAAGTAACATTCTTTCTGCTATAGTTGCATGCATGAATAAATTTCTATAGAGTTTGGGTACCCAACTTTTTATTCTTTTTATCCTTAGGAGAGTGAGTGGAGGATAAGTCCCTGGAGATTGGAGGTACAGATTTTATTTGGTTTAAGGTTGCAAAGTCACACCTACTGCATTCAGCTTGCCCTGGACATCTGAGCAGTTTAGGGGGACCAGGAAAACAAGAGGTCAGGGAGCTCCTGCACCTTTGAGAGTTGTGTAGAAGAGGAAATTTTAGCAACTTTAGTGGGAACCAGGACATTCCAGGATCCAGTCAGGAGCAGGGATGGCTCCTTTAATTCTGGGATGCCCTGGTCAAATCAGAATGGTTGATGGATATGTTATGGCCATGCCCTATGTCATCTTCCTTGACAATGGGGAGAAGGCATCTACATCAGCCATAGGGAGAAGCTCTGGTGGGTGTTCAGTCTTGACATACAATTAATGTGGGCATGTTTAAGGGAAAATGTCCAGTATATGAGAGGCTGAACCAGTGCGAACAGGGACTGAACACTGTGGGTTTATCAAGGGGATATTTACGGAGACCTTTTGTGGCCAACACAAGAAGTACTTGTAGGCACAATGGCATCTATGAGCACCACATTTTGGACCCCTGCATTAGCATCTTCACATGCAGTGCTTGCAGGCCTGCACAGTTTTCCTCCAAGCCATACGTCTCTGCAATGTGAATGCTGTAAACAAAGGGCCTGAATACAAATCAAAAATCCGTTAAACAGAACTCTAATACAAGAGCTTTTTAATTACCCTGCAACCAGTATATAATATACAGTGGCGTTCACTTACTGGCAAAGTTTGCTAATGTTCCCAGACAGGTTGGATGATTGCACTGAATTGCCTTACAAATTTCACCTGCAGGAAACTAAGGAGGAAAGGTATAAAGACTGAAAATAGAACATAAAGAATGCAATTAAAGCAAGTGAAACGTAGGTCTTAGTTGCTAATTGTTCATAAAAAATATCATTAGTTTACAATGTGTGTTTATGCAAGAAAGGCTTCTGCAGTGCTTTTTAGTGAGTCTTTGAAGCAGTCTCCTTGGCAAACAACCAGGAAAAATAAACCTCTCCAAAACTGTAGTTTGTACATCCAGGAGAGAGGAGAGTGGGAGGGGAGGAAAGGCTGTATTGCAAAATTAATTTGAGTGAATACCAACTGAGTTGACTAACTCAAAATTCAATAAGCATCTGCAAATCTCACTTACTGTCAGCTGAGTCACCGTATGGACAGGGAAAGAGCAATTGAATCACCACCTGCTACTTTAGGTAGCAGGCTCACTGTGAATGCCATTCCTGGCACACAAGTTTCCAAATGGGCCTGCACTTGCAGAAAGGATTTGGCAAAGGGGTAACTCATTGATGAGAGGTACCACCTACCTGGCTTCCTGCCCTCTCCTCATTAAACCAGGAGAATTCAGAACTGCTAGAAATTTCAGTTCATGTCAGTGAAGGCTTATTCTGTGTCTGACAATTCAGTTTGTCTGTCTTTGCCTTGGGTGTGAATAGAAACGCTTTAAGAAGATAGGCCCTATCTTAGCTGTCCGTGGACAAATGACTACTTTAATAATGAGGTGTCTTCCTACCTGGGATGATAGCTGATAAGAGCATCAGAAGCTCCCATTGGTCTGTCTAGCTCCATATTATCTACGCTGGCTGGCAGCAGCTCTCCAATGTTCGAGAGGAATGTCCTTTTCCTCCATTTCCACAGCTTAGAGTGGGCTAACTACTGACAGCATCTTAAAAAGTAGAGAGCATCTTAAAAAGTAGAGACATCACCTTGCCAACAAAGGTCCATATAGTAAAAGCTATGGTTTTCCCAGTAGTGATGTATGGAAGTGAAAGCTGGACCATAAAGAAGGCTGATTGCTGAATAATTGATGCTTTTGAAATATGGTGCTGGAGGAGACTCTTGAGAGTCCCATGGACTGCAAGAAGACCAAACCTATCCATTCTTAAGGAAATCACCCCTGAGTGCTCACTGGAAGGACAGATCGTGAAGCTGAGGCTCCAATACTTTGGCCACCTCATGAGAAGAAAAGACTCCCTGGAAAAGTTCCTGATGTTGGGAAAGATGGAGGGCACAAGGAGAAGGGGACGTCAGAGGACGAGATGGTTGAACAGTGTTCTCGAAGCTACCAGCATGAGTTTGACCAAACTGTGGGAGGCAATGGAAGACAGGAGTGTCTGGCATGCTCTGGTCCATGGGGTCATGAAGAGTCGGACACGAGTAAACGACTAAACTACTACTACTACTACTACTACTACTGGGCTTACAGTGCTCCAATGGTTGGCCTCCAATACGTGGGGCTTTGCCTTATACCCCCCACCCCAAAACCTCCGGCCATGCATTTAGCAGCCATTCCATTTTTCAACAGAACACATATTTTTTTCCTGATCTCTGATTTTTTGTGCCTTCAGAGGACTGGAAGCCTAATGCATAGCTTCTTTCCACTGCTGCCCTCTGCCCCATGACTAGGGATGGAATATCATAGAATCATAGAATCATAGAATCATAGAGTTGGAAGAGACCACAAGGGCCATCGAGTCCAACCCCCTGCCAAGCAGGAAACACCATCAGAGCACTCCTGACATATGGTTGTCAAGCCTCTGCTTAAAGACCTCCAAAGAAGGAGACTCCACCACACTCCTTGGCAGCAAATTCCACTGTCGAACAGCTCTTACTGTCAGGAAGTTCTTCCTAATGTTTAGGTGGAATCTTCTTTCTTGTAGTTTGGATCCATTGCTCCGTGTCCGCTTCTCTGGAGCAGCAGAAAACAACCTTTCTCCCTCCTCTATGTGACATCCTTTTATATATTTGAACATGGCTATCATATCACCCCTCAACCTCCTCTTCTCCAGGCTAAACATGCCCAGCTCTCTTAGCCGTTCCTCATAAGGCATCGTTTCCAGGCCTTTGACCATTTTGGTTGCCCTCCTCTGGACACGCTCCAGTTTGTCAATGTCCTTCTTGAACTGTGGTGCCCAGAACTGGACACAGTACTCCAGGTGAGGTCTGACCAGAGCAGAATACAGTGGCACTATTACTTCCCTTGATCTAGATGCTATACTCCTATTGATGCAGCCCAGAATTGCATTGGCCTTTTTAGCTGCTGCGTCACACTGTTGGCTCATGTCAAGTTTGTGGTCAACCAAGACTCCTAGATCCTTTTCACATGTACTGCTCTCAAGCCAGGTGTCCCCCATCTTGTATTTGTGCCTCTCATTTTTTTTGCCCAAGTGCAATACTTTACATTTCTCCCTGTTAAAATTCATCTTGTTTGTTTTGGCCCAGTTCTCTAATCTGTCAAGGTCGTTTTGAAGTGTGATCCTGTCCTCTGGGGTGTTAGCCACCCCTCCCAATTTGGTGTCATCTGCAAATTTGATCAGGATGCCCTTGAGTCCATCATCCAAGTCGTTGATAAAGATGTTGAATAAGACCGGGCCCAAGACAGAACCCTGTGGCACCCCACTAGTCACTCTTCTCCAGGATGAAGAGGAACCATTGATGAGCACCCTTTGGGTTCGGTCAGTCAGCCAGTTACAAATCCACTGAGTGGTAGCATAGTCAAGACCACATTTTACCAGCTTCTTTACAAGAATATCATGAGGCACCTTGTCAAATGCCTTGCTGAAATCAAGGTAGGCTACATCCACTGCATTCCCTTCATCTACCAGGCTTGTAATTCTGTCAAAAAATGAGATCAGGTTAGTCTGACATGACTTATTTTTCAGAAATCCATGCTGACTATTGGTGATCACAGCATTCCTTTCTAGGTGCTCACAGACTGTTTGCTTAATGATCTGCTCCAGAATCTTCCCTGGTATTGATGTCAGACTGACTGGGCGGTAATTATTTGGGTCCTCTCTTTTCCCCTTTTTGAAAATAGGGACAACATTTGCCCTCCTCCAGTCTGCCGGGACTTCACCTGTTCTCCAGGAATTCTCAAAGATGACTGCCAGTGGTTCTGAGATCACATCTGCCAGTTCTTTTAATACTCTTGGATGCAGTTCATCTGGCCCTGGAGACTTGAATACATCTAAACTAGCCAAGTATTCTTGTACTATCTCCTTAGTTATTCTGGGCTGTGTTTCCTTTGCTGAATCATTTGCTCCAAATTCTTCAGGTCGGGCATTTTTTTCTTTATCGGAGAAGACTGAGGCAAAGAAGGCATTGAGGAGTTCAGCTCTTTCTGTGTCCCCTGTTTGCATTTCACCATCTTCTCCTCTGAGTGACCCCACTGTTTCTTTGTTCTTCCTTTTGCTACGGACATACCCATAAAAGCCTTTTTGTTGCTTTTAACCTCTCTAGCAAGCCTGAGTTCATTCTGTGCTTTAGCTTTTCTGACTTTGTGTCTACACGTGCTGGCTATTTGTTTGAATTCCTCTTTGGTGGTTTCCCCCTTTTCCATTTTTGTACACATCCTTTTTAATCTTAACTCAGTTAAAAGTTCTTTAGATAGCCACCCTGGCTTCTTTAGGCACCTTCCATGTTTCTGTCTCATTGGTATTGCCTGACGTTGTGCTTTTAGTATCTCCCTCTTAACAAACTCCCAGCCATCATGAACTCCCTTTCCTTTTAGTATTACTGTCCATGGGATCTCACCCAGCACTTCCCTAAGTTTTATGAAGTCAGCTTTCTTAAAGTCAAGAAATTGAGTCCTAGTATGCTTGGCTGCTCCTTTCCGCTGTATAGTAAACTTCAGAAGAGCATGATCACTCGCGCCTAATGATCCTTCCACTTCTACCCCACTAACCAGGTCATCAACATTGGTTAGGACCAGATCTAAAATGGCTGTTCCTCTTGTTGCTTCTCCCACTTTCTGGACAATGAAGTTGTCTGCAAGGCCAGTGAGGAATCTGTTTGACCTTATGCTCTTGGCTGAGTTTGACATCCAACAAATATCCGGGTAATTGAAGTCCCCCATTACTACTATCTCCCTTCCTTTTGCATGCTTGGCCATCTGTTCCAGGAAGGCATCATCTATGTCCTCCGTTTGGCTTGGGGATCTATAGTAAACTCCCACAATGAGGTCACTGTTATTCTTCTCTCCCTTAATTTTGACCCAAATGCTCTCACTTTGGCTTTGAGGTTCTAAATCTTGGATCTCTTCACAGGTATACACATCCCTGACATATAACGCCACTCCTCCTCCTTTCTTGTCTGGTCTGTTTCTCTGAAATAGATTGTATCCCCCATTATTACATTCCAATCGTGGGACTTATCCCACCAGGTTTCAGTGATGCCTATTATGTCATATTTAGTTTGCTGTACCAAGAGCTCAAGCTCATCTTGTTTATTTCCCATGCTTTGCGCATTAGTGTACAGACATTGAAGTCCATTAATCATTCCCCGTGACTCTTATTTAAGGATTTTTCCTCCCACCACTAGGTCTGCGTGCTGTTTGCTCCATTTGGTCTATGACATTTGGATGATCATCTTCATCAATTGATAGACTCCTACCTTCAGGAGCACTGTCTTCCTCCCCACATTAGTCAGTTTAAAGCCCTCCTGATGAGGTTTCTGAGATTTTGGCAAAAACATTTCTCCCAACCGTTGTGAGGTGCAGCCCATCGCTTGCCAGAAGTCCATCTTCAAGAAACTGCAGTCCGTGATCTAAGAATCCAAACCGTTCCTGTTTACACCATTTGCGAAGCCAGCTGTTCACTTCCACTATTTTCCCCTCTCTCCCTGGGCCACGTCGTTCAACTGGGAGGACAGATGAGATCACAATTTGTGCATTTAATTGCTTCAATTTCCTGCCCAGAGCCTCGTAGTCTCTTTTGATCTTCTGGAGGCTATAACACACGATATAACACACGACTTTCTAAAAAGTGTATGGAGATCCAGCATCAATATCACCCTGTTCATGCCTGCCTTTCTCCTGGCCTCTTCTCTTGGAGTGACATAGGAATGACATAGTGTGGACACATTTTAATATCCCATCACATAAGTCTACAGGAATAGTTGATGGGTATCCAGCAGTATGGCAGACTAGGCCCTTTCTGATTACACAGATTTCAGAATACAGCCACCTCAGCAATCAGCATACAGGGATAGATGGATCCCCTCAGTTCCTTCCCATATTATTTCAAGATGCTGGCACCTCTGGTTCTGGGATGACTTGAAATAATGCCCATCAGAAGTCTGAATTCTTGAATGACCATGGTGCTGTAGCTTCCACCCCAGACACAACTGCAAAGGCTCTTACTTGAGAGTAGGAGAAGGACCTTTATTAAACCAGAGCACAGTGCAGGTGCAGAAATAGGCAAAAGCAAACTCAGTTCAAGAGCTCCTACAAACGGGATGGAAGAGTTAACTGAGCTAGGAGCAAGGTCAGAATTGCAAAAGCCAAGATCTGGTCATAAAATTTAAAATTCTATGTGAGCAGTGAAGCTGTCCCAATAAGTTATCACACCCACTTAGCAAGCTCTATAGCCAAGGTAGGGCACACAACTTACTTGTGAGAATTAGCCTTGTGAGAATGTCTAGCCTGCATGTGCACACTCTGTTGAGGGGGCTGCATCTGCTTCCACCAGCAGAGGCATTGCCTAGCCCTGGAAGACAACGCCAGCTCTGTCTCCTGCTTTGAATCCTGTTCAGCCATCCCAGGCCATTGCTCTGAGTCCTCCCAGCTTCCAACAGCACACCTGTTGTTGTATAACCTCCCTGAAAACAAATAAGAATGAATGCTCAGTAAAGACCAGGTATAATCTAATCTCCACGTAAGCTTTGGACAAGCAAATCAGGATAAATAGGTTGTCTGAAGGAGCTCCCAAATCAAGTTCCTAATGTGAAACAAATTCCAGGCAAGTCCCAAAACAGAACCTGAAAATCCAGAGTAGAATCTATAAAACTGGATTTCATATGCATATGGATGGATCCATGTATGTATTACATGCCTTTTAGGGCAAGCTCTTGCATGGAAGCTCACCTAATAGCTAATCCATACTGCTGTTCAATCCAGAGTTCCAGGCTAAAAAGAAGGCTAGAAAGAAGGGTGATGGCAACTTGAGGGTTAAAGGTTGTATTTTGGTTTCGGCTAGAGAGAAGACAGCAGTCATTAATAAATGAGCAGTAGAATCAAACTCATATGGTCTTTAAGCCCAGTGTAGCTGTGTGGTCTTTCTATGCCTACAGCAAATGAAAGTTACACAGCCAGGCAGTACGTGCCAGAAAGGAGTAATGACACAGCAATTACTTTTGTCTAACTCTCTGTTTCTGGCATGGAAATGAGATGAAGAACCAACATTGTCATCCAGTTGGCAGCCAGGAACTGTAAGCAAGCGATCTCTCGCTTGAATGCCCTGAAGGTTTCGCAGAAGAGCATTTGGCGCAGCTTCTGTACCTCCAGGAAGAATCTTTAGCTAGGTTTGGGAAACTGCATGCTGGGAGAGCATATTGTAATGTAAGCATTACCAACAAAGGTTTCGTGTAGCTACAGATGGTGGGAGTTAGGCACAATCTGCAAACTGACAATTGCTCATCCAGTAGCGTTTTTGGTGTGTGTGTGTGTAATAATGAAATGTTAGCAGAAAAACTAAGTTGAATTTGCTTTTTTTTAAAAAGTCATTTTGGAAGCCATTTTGCAATAATGGAATACACCCATGCAACCTCATCTGAAGGGGACCACAGAGAACTGGCTTCTGAAGTGATTCTGTGCACCCCAGGGTGAGCTATCACTTGGGAGATGACCATCCAAATTCACCATCTCCTGCGGCAGTTGGTGCATTCATGATGCATTTATACCTCATTTCATTTATGGTTCTCACAGGCATAGCTAGGGGGTGCAGGGGGCACCACACCGTGGGGGTGGCACTTACCATGACCAAGCCATGCGTCTCTCCTGGGAGTGATGCGGTGGCTCGGATGCCTGCAAGCTCCACACTGCTCGAAAAAGCAACACAAGCATGCATGGCACTGGAGTGGAACGGGGCTCAGGCACTGGGATTCTGGTGTGCCCTGCCCTGCCCCATGAGCCCCCTGCCCCCTGGCACCTCACCCAACCCCCAGGTGCTGAAGCAGCTAGCTATGCCGCTGCTCACAGAAGTGGGGCTCCATGCAAAGGCCTGCCCCCCTGACCTGTGTGCTATCACCATACTCTCCTGATGCCTGTACACTCAAACTATGTCAGAAGAAGGAATTCTCACATACCGATGTGTGCATGTCCAGCTCCTCCATGCAAGGAGGAATGCTGACCCAATCAAGGTCCTTCCTTGCATGAGAAGGTCTGTGCCCAGGAGTAGCCAATGTGGTGCCTTGCAGATGTTGCTGGGCTGCAACTCTAATAACCCCACTAGCATGGCCAGTGGTCAAGGTTGATGGGAGTTGTAGTCCAACAACATCTGGAGGTCACCATCTCAGATGCCCTGGTCTAAAAGTATACTTTGATATGCAAATACAACTCCGGGTTAAGTTTGTGCAAATGTTGGAGGAATGTGATGGAGGCAGGTGGTGGGGCTGCCCCTACAGCCCCAGCACCCCATCTGGGCATGTGAAACCCACATAGTTTTATCTCAATGGTGAATATAACAGAAATCAACAACAAAAATCTCCTGCCAGTAGCAAAAATGCAGGTGCACAGAAAAGACTATGGAATGATTCTTCTTTTCCTCCACAGTTTAGGCTGCGATGGCTGGATATCTTATTCCCTGTTATTAAAAAGGTTTCCAAAGCCATTCCTGTTGCCAGAGGCTGACTGGGATTAGCTTTTCTCCCTGTGGCTGGAACACCAGCCAGCTGTTTAGTATACAACGTTAGACCCAATTAAGCTGGTTAGCGTACCATGAGACAGCAGACATGCACAGACGCAGACATGTATATGAAGCAACTTTGCTCCTCAATGTAGAAGCAACATCCCACCTAGGAAGTGACATCATTAAATGAAAAGTCTGAAACAATTATCATTTCACATGTATATATATTTGACTGAGATCTGCAGTGGCATTAATACAGGCTTGCTATTGATCAGTCATATGCGTGTCATGCTTCACAACTGTGCCATGCTGAAATCCTTTATAATGGAGAGCCACATGGGCTTTGAGGCATTACTGGTGGTTAATCATCCTGTCATATCCAACATTTGTCATTCTCCGAGCAGACCCAATGAAATTAAACAGCATCCATGAAATTAGCTCCATGAAATTCAATGAGTCAACTCTGAATGGAATTGAGTTGGATGCAACCCAGAAATTCTGTCTGATAAACTTTTGCAATTGGCTATGATTGGCATGAATATCTGGCGGACAGGGCAGTGATTTAGATTTAGAGTGCTCCTGAGATCTTTACTGAACATTAACTTTAAAGCTGCCATGAAGTTGTAAGGGGGGAAAAAAAGTTTTCACCTAATTGGACTTGCTATACTGAAGCGGGCAAGTTTAGGATAAGGAACTAAGGATGGGTGAATCTGTCAATTTCAGTTGCTCAGTTTTGCTATACTTCTGCATCAGTTTGTGATTTTATGATTCTGTGCTGATGATTAAAAAGACTTCATGAAAAATTGTCAGCATTTAATGCACATTCTCAGGTTGCAGAGGGGAAAAGACGAGATGTGTGATGTGAAGGGTGCCCAGATGTCCTACTCTGCAGTAAGGGACTCACTGTGCCTCCTCTGAAGTAAAGATTCCTAGTTCTGTTAGGATTTCCTGTTCTGTTTGGAACCTTCCCCCGGGGATCTTATAGCTTTGTGGTACAATGTATGTTTGGCATCAGAAGGCACCAGGTTTAATTCCTGGCATCTCCAGTTAAAAAGAAGATAGTATATTGGAGACAGGAGACCCTCTTCTTACGGCCTTGGAGAGCTACCGGGGTGGGATGGAACAGTGGTCTGACTCATTGCGAGTTTATCTGTATTCA